ATCTGTGTTAGTCACTCAGTCATGTCCAGCTCTTTGCAACCTGCTAGAATCATTTGCCTTTGGAATTCTCCAGGCAAGAAAAAATTCTCCAGGCAAGAGTGGGTAGCCATTCCCTTCTCCAAGGGATCTTCCCGACCTAGGGATTGAACCTTGCATTGCAGACAGATTCTTTACCATCTGAGCCACCACTGTGGTCTCTGACCAGTTGACGAGGTCAAGGAAGTGCTATGGTTTTACCCTTGGTGCTGATTTTTCCCTCAGGTGGAGGACTGTATTATAAAGGCAAGCTTCAGTGGGTGTTAGCATGTTCTGCTTCAGGTTCAAGTTTTGAGATGTGATTTTTCAACAAATAATATTAAATCAGAGTTTTAAAAACACTGAATGAGGTATAACAAGTTCCTAAGGGTGCTAAGAAAATGTTAAGTTTCCCTTCCTTTGGTGGACAGGCACAGGGTCTCAATGATGAATAGTGGCGTGAGGGGAAAAGACTAACAGAATCTCATCCGGGGCTGATCACCTAACTAAGAAAGGCTATGTGTTCTCGGGCAGTAGTAATATGTGTGTCACATGAGGAACCATGAGAACAAGAGGGGCACTTATGACTAGTTTAGCAGAAGCACTGAGTTTTGAAGCAGTGGTTATTGCCCTACAAAGAGGAGACTATGCCTTTATGACCAGGTCAAGGCGATGCGTGTTTGACTCCCATGAAGTTATGTTGAAACTCTATAAAGACATGCCTAGATTGCTCACATGCAAGTAGACAAAATGTCCACTTGGGTTCGGAGGACATAAACCCCAGACTTCTGAATCAAAGGATTTTAGTTGGAAGTGCCTATAGAGAGAGTCTGTTGACTAACCCTCTTCAAATGACAGAAAGTCTGTTTATGTAGGTAGGTAAATAGGTTTAGTCACTAAGTCGTGTCCAACTCTTGCAACCACGTGGACCATGGCCCACCAGACTCCTCTGCCCATAGGATTTCCCAGGCAAGAATATTGGAGTGGGTTGCCATTTCCTTCTCTAGAGTCTCTTCCTGACCCAGAGATTGAACTGCGGTCTCCTGCATTGCAGGCAGACTCTTTACTGACCGAGCCATTTGACACTTGTTTGCAATGTTCAGCTGTTAGTGAAAAAATTTTATGGACAGAGGAAGTGGATACAGGAAGCTATACTACCAAAAGGCAGATATGTTGTGGTGAAGGCAGTTTCCTTTAGGGGACAGCAGAGGTCTGTCAGACATTAACTCACTGGTGCTGACCAGGTGATTCCTGACTGTTTAGTTCAGTTCAGTTCAGTCGCTCAGTCATGTCCAGCTCTTTGCGACCCCATGAACTGCAGCATGCCAGACCTCCCTGTCCATCACCAACTCCCAGAGTTTACTCAGACTCATGTCCATTGAGTTGGTGATGCCATCCAACCATCTCATCCTCTGTTGTCCCCTTCTCCTCTTGCCTTCAATCTTTCCCAGCATCAGGGTCTTTTCCAATGAGTCAGCACTTGGCATGAGGTGGCCAAAGTATTGGAGTTTCAGCTTCAGCATCAGTCCTTCCAATGAACATTCAGGACTGATTTCCTTTAGGGTGGACTGGTTGGATCTCCTTGCAGTCCAGGGGACTCTCAAGAGTTTTCTCCAACATCACAGTTCAAAAGCATCAATTCTTCGGTTCTCAGCTTTCTTTATGGTCCAAATCTCACATCCATACATGACCACTGGAAAAACCATAGCACTGACTAGATGGACCTTTGTTGGCAAAGTAATGTCTCTGCTTTTTAATGTGCTGTCTAGCTTGGTCATAACTTTCCTTCCAAGGAGTAAGCATCTTTTAAATTCATGGCTGCAGTCACCATCTGCAATGATTTTGGAGACCCCCAAATAAAGTCTGCCACTGTTTCCACTGTTTCCCCATCTATTCCCCATGAAGTGATGGGACCAGATGCCATGATCTTAGTTTTCTGAATGTTGAGCTTTAAGCCTACTTTTTCACTCTCCTCTTTCTCTTTCATCAAGAAGCTCATTAGTTCTTCTTTACTTTCTGCCATAAGGGTGGTATCATCTGCATATCTGAGATTATTGATATTTCTCCCGGCAATCTTGATTCCAGCTTGTGCTTCATCCAGCCCAGCATTTCTCATGATGTACTCTGCATATAAGTGAAATAAGCAGGATGACAATATACAGCCTTGATGTACTCCTTTTCCTATTTGGTATCAGTCTGTTGTTCCATGTCCAGTTCTAACTGTTGCTTCCTGTCCTGCATACACATTTCTCAAGAGGCAAATCAGGTGGTCTGCTATGCCCATCTCTTTCAGGATTTTTGACAGTTTATTGTGATCCACACAGTCAAAGGCTTTGGCATAGTCAATAAAGCAGAAATAGATGTTTTTCTGGAACTCTTACTTTTTTGATGATCCATCGGATGTCGGCAATTTGATCTCTGGTTCTTCTGCCTTTTATAAAACCAGCTTGAACATCTGGAAGTTCACGGTTCATATATTGTTGAAGCCTGGCTTGGAGAATTTTGACCATTACTTTGCTAGCATGTGAGGTGAGTGCAATTGTGCAGTAGTGTGAGCATTCTTTGGCATTGCCTTTCTTCGGGATTGGAATGAAAAGTGACCTTTTCCAGTCCTGTGGCCACTGCTGAGTTTTCCAAATTTTCTGGCATATTGAGTGCAGCACTTTCACAGCATCATCTTTTAGGATTTGAAATAGCTCCACTGGAATTCCATCACCTCTGCTAGCTTTGTTCATGGTGATTGTTCCTAAGGCCCACTTGATTTCACATTCCAGGATGTCTGGCTCTAGGTGAGTGATTATCTGGATCGTGAAAATCTTTTTTGTACAGTTCTTCTGTATATTCTTACCACCTCTTCTTAATATCTTCTGCTTCTGTTAGGTCCATACCATTTGTGTCGTTTATTGAGCTCATCTTTGCATGAAATGTTCCCTTTTATCTCTAATTTTCTTGAAAAGATCTCTAGTCTTTCCCATTCTATTGTTTTCCTCTATTTCTTTGCACTGATCACTGAGGAAGGCTTTCTTATCTCTCCTTGCTATTCTTTGGAACTCTGCATTCAGATGGGAATATCTTTCCTTTTCTTCTTTGCTTTTGGCTTCTCTTCTTTTCACAGCTATTTGTAAGACCTCCTCAGACAGCCATTTTTCCTTTTTGCATTTCTTTCCCATGGGGATGGTCTTGCTCCCTGTCTTCTGTACAGTGTCACAAACCTCCATCCATAGTTCATCAGACACTCTGTCTATTAGATCTAGTCCCTTAAATCTGTTTCTCACTTCCACTGTATAATCGTTAGGGATTTGATCTAGGTCATACCTGAATGGTCTAGTGGTTTTCCCTACTTTCTTCAGTTTAAGTCTGAATTTGGCAATAAGGAGTTCATAATCTGAGCCACAGTCAGCTCCTGGTCTTGTTTTTGCTGACTGCATAGAGCTTCTCCATCTTTGGCTGTGAAGAATATACTCGATCTGATTTCAGTGTTGGCCATCTGGTGAGCTCCATGTGTAGAGTCTTGTGTTGTTGGAAGAGGTGTTTGCTATGTCCAGTGCATTCTCTTGGCAGAACTCTATTGGCCTTTTGCCTGCTTCATTCTGTACTCCAAGGCCAAATTTGCCTGTTACTCCAGGTGTTTCTTGACTTCCTACTTTTACATTCCAGTCCCCTGTAATGAAAAGGACATCTTTTTGGGGTGTTAACTCTAGAGAGTTTTGTAGGTCTTCATAGAACCATTCAACTTCCGCTTCTTCAGCATTACTGGTCAGGGCATAGACTTGGATTACCATTGATATTGAATGGTTTGCCTTGGAAATGAACAAACTCTAACTGTTTAGGATTCCATTTTTGGGAGAGCTTAAACTGTAATTAAATTAAATCTCAGGTTGATGAGACTGGACTTAGTATGAGCAACTTCATCATAGGTATGCTATCATGTTTTTAACACAGTTAACCTAGAAATTCTCTCAGTTGTTTTGTGAAAATTCAATGTTTGGATAGTCTACAGCCTTACCAGAAAAGAGTGATTTCCCTTCTTATATCACTTCAGTCATGGATTATGTTTTGGCAAAATTATGACTTATCTTTTGAAACTTTATGTCCCTCTTTTGCTAAGGCTCAGAGCAAGTAAATAGATTCCTTTTTATAAGGTTCCTTATGCTGTGAATAAAGTAGGAGATCATGTACAAATTTGATTAAAACCAAATTACAAGAGAAATGTAGACCTTTTAAATGTTGGTTGAGGGCCTGGATGAAATAGAAGGTTTCAGTGAACACCTGGGGTGTGACTATCCGGGTGTATTCTTGTCCTCCCCAGGTGAAGATAAAAAGGAAAGATTTAGGGTAAAAAAGAGAAGGCATCAGGTATATTCTGATTGGAGTTTGATGGATGGGGAAGCTCAAGACAGGCAAATTAGAAGTGAACGATTTGACGTAATTGGTTTGGGAGCATATTTGTCTTCCTTTGGATTGTTCTTGGGCTTACCAGGTGGCTCAGTGCTAAAAGAATCCAACTGCCAATGCAGGAGATGCTGGAGGATTCTTGCCTGTAAAATCCCGTGAACAGAGAAACCTGACAGGCTCCAGTACATGGGGTCGCAAATAGTTGAACACAACTGAGCGACTGAGCATGCACATGCTTGTGGACTGTTCCTAGTTGGAAGCTGGCAGTCACTGACCAAGTCTTGACCATTTGGGGCCAATTGCTGTAGAGATTATGGTTGACGTCTGTGGATGGTTACAGTAGAAGTTTTGGATCCATGTTCTATATGTGGTCTGCCGATTCATTATCCAAACAGGTTGATCTCTCACCCTTTTCCCGTATAATGTTCTCCAGCTACATCTCAAAATGATTTGAAAGATAATGAAAAGATTTTGCAAAGTGGAAATATAACATTTTTCTTAATCTACTGGCAGGTATCTGAAAACATGGACTTTTCATCTTAATTCCATTAGAGTTAATTTTTTATCTGCAATTGTTTATGTTCTTACAGAGGATCTTGATGATTTAAGAATGGAGGGAGTAACTACCCTGACACCTTCTGGGAGCAAATTTAACCAAGGTCGAGCTACTTACTCTGCTGAACCTCAGGCCAAAGTCACATTGAACATCTGTTCAAGGTGTGCCAGGTAAAACAGATTATAGGTGTATCTATGTATATACATGATCTTGATTTTTTAAATCTAAGATTTTGATGCAAAGGGTGTACTCCTCTGTGTTAAGAGAATCTTTTCCTTCTGGTTATCTTTTGTGCTGAGTTAACAAGGGAGTTAGTTGTACAGTTTATCCTCATGCCCCAATGCCACTCAGACCAACAATGAATCAAAGAGTTTAGATTGTCTTTACTTCACAGTTGGAGACTATTCTAAGACTTTCTGCCTCTGAATTTCATTTGCTGTCTGCCTTTCTGTCCCTTTTCAAAAGAAGATTCAAGGGACCCTAGAAGTTCAAAGCCACTTCTGAGGCACCTGCGTAAAGGACAGTTTGCCCAGGTACAGTTTAAGACCGGACATTATTGGCCTCTTAACCTGTTCCTCATCTTGTTCACCTCCTGGAAAGAATTTAATCAGCTTGATGCTTTTCAGGTTTGGCAGCTGGAAGCAACCTTTGCATACAGTGTATGTGGCCAAAGAAGTGGCTTACGTTAACTGCCTGGTCAGCTCCCAGTGCTGGTCTAGCAGAAGCTCACCAAACAGCTAGAATTCATTCTCTTGTAGGAGCGAAATCTCATTTGCAAAGAGGCTTTTAAGCCTGTTTAAATGATAAAACAAGCCTTCTAAACCCTTATGTAAATGGTGCAGATTAGCAAGAACAATGCCCTGGCTGGCCACTTTTATCTCCTTTGCTCTATGTCTAGCTGTTCTATTGTACAGTTTGAGAGGGGATTTGTGGCTTGGAAATGGGGTGGTGGGGGGAAGTATAGGAAAATCAAATCAGATTTTTGTAGCTTTTCCTTGCCTTTACTCCTTGGGAAGTTTAATTGTAGTTGTCATGGGCTTAGAAAAATAAAAAGAGATAGAATAAAAATAAATAGAAAAATCAGAGGGTATTATTTGAGATCATTAAGAGAAATGCCACCATAAAATGAAAACGCCACTGGAAACATTGCTTCAGACAAGTAATATTTGGGTGGATCGATTTTTTTGATTAAGGGTATGAAGAAAACTGCAAGTATTTATGCAATGATATTTAGGCATCCTGAGTGTGGAAGAGTCATTTAGCAATTAAAAAGAACTTTATAGTATGTTTGTACATTTACAGGTTGACTGGGAGGGGTTGGTGCTTGGTTCTTGGTCCTTGGTCCTTCATGTTATTTGTAGAAGATTGGGATATGAGGAGTTTTTTATGGAAAGGAAATCCCATGAAAACAATATGTTTTACTAAAGTACTGAAGGTTTGAATTGGGAAAGGTCCAAACCCATTACATAGCCCTAAATTATTCACACTCAGCTTCCTAATGATAAGCTAGATTATAAATTATAAACTACCTGCATATAAGATGAACTTGTAACCTCTAAGGGCTTCCCTGGTTGCTCACATAGTAAAGAATCTGCCTGCAATACAGGAGACCTGATTGAGAGAGCTGGATAGGGTCATGTATGCATAGACAGCCAACCAAGTGATCACAGTGCAGGATTCTCAAGAAATCCTTAAAAAAAGAGTTTCTCTTCTTTTTCTCCCATGCACTGGGATAATTCCCATGTAAATACTTAAGGAGTTGAAAATATTTTGAATTTTCCCCCTCTTTTAGAAAGGCCCACATTAAAGTACTCAGGCACTGAAGAAAAAAGAGCCTCATTTTCCTGACACGAAGGAATTTTTTGCCTTAGGCTTCTTACAGACGAGGGAGAAAACTGTAGCTCATTATCTGAGACAATAAGACGGTGTAGGGTGGCAGTGTTTTTGTTTTTGTGTTTGTTTGTTTCTCAGAGTTTCATGGTCAAGAAATAATTTTTTTCAGGTAGAACTGGAAGTTTAAAAGCTTAAAGGATGTGTTGTTTTCTTGAAATAGTGCTGTAGCCCCAGGACACCCAAGAGTCATTGAGATTCAGGGGATGGCCAGAGCTTCTGCAAAGAACCCATCAGTGAGCAAGTTAGTGTAAAGAGGTGGAGTGTACTCTTGAAATTGTCATTTTCCTCAATCTCTTTTTCAAATACTACACTGCTTGTGAGTTACATATGGGGTCACAGTATCTAGAAGGAAGTTTGCATAGGATATGTCCAGAACATTATTACTCTTATCAAACTGAGGGCATACAGCCAAAGGCCACAGAGACTTTCTCATTCAGAACCTGATTAGAAGACATGATCTGTCCTGAAACTAATACATTGCTCTGGGAACAGTTGATGGATATCATATATATGTGACCATTGGTAGGATTTCTGATTTTCAAGAGATCAGGAAAAAAGGAATTCAGCCTACATTAAGTTGCTCTGTGAAGTTTTATGTGCAACGAAGTGGCTAACTATGAAGAATGTAAAAAAATGTTTTGATTAGATGGTTACAAGAAATAAAATTATAACTTTTTTCATAAATATTTCATACATTGTTAGAAAAGTGCAGATGGAAGAAAGCTTATGTTTTCAAGCTGGAAAATTATTCCAGGGTAATGTTATTCCCTTAGCTCTTAGTGACCTTAATCTGATGTGGACATTGCTGCAATTTGTATGGTTTAAACAAACAGATGACATCATTTGGCAAGTGGAAAAATGCATAGTTAATAGATGCCTGGTCACCAAGATATATTGAGATTCTAACCCAAAATGTCTCTGTTTTCCCCTCAGATCATAAGGGAAAGAAACCATTACAAAATAATTTTAAGTAAATAAAGAATTTTCTATGTATAATATAATATAGCAGTGTCCTTATAACTGCTGACTTTTTTTTTTTTGCATTACAAGTTAGTTTTTTTATATATTCATTGAGTGTCTTAGTTTGACTTTCAGAATATTCTATTCATACAGCTACTAAGCCTTGAACGGCGTGGGCAAAACAAGTTTAATTTGTTGCCTAGGAGTCACACCAAGTCATATCAACCAAAAAGTAAAATGTCAGTAGGTCAGTAATGCGCATTGCCAGTAATTATCAGCAAAACTTGTGTGGTTTTAAAAAAACAGTGGTCTGGAGCATTGTGAGTTTCAAATTAAATCTCTCTATTAAATATCCTGAATTTTCTTTTTAAGGTAACAGTTAAGATATCAATAACAAGCAAACAAATGCTGATACCAAGGCAGCAAAGTACTATTTCAGTGAAGTTTATAAGCCATTTTTCTGGAAAGACCACCCATTAATTCTGTCTACCCACTACCATTCTGAGGAATTAAATCTTGTTTTTGTGGACTCCTGCCAGGGCATTCCGGGTGGTAGGTTGCTGTTTGTTTTTGATGGTGCAAGTGTTTGCATTCATTCATGCCTAACATCAATAGAGCACAAAAAAGAACTGAAAGCCATTTAAAAAGAAATTGGATTATAGAGACCATACAGTGACACTGGCTCAGGAAACTGCAGCCTGAGAATGTTAGGAGAAATCTGTTTCCAAATAGCCTGCTGATTTTTCACTGATTTGCTTCATGTCATTGTACCAAAAATTGCTCACCATTTCTATACATCATGACATTAAAATAATGAGTTTATTCATATATTGACTTGATAAAGCAAAAGCAATGATTGCTGGTGATAGGATGCTGAAGAAAAGATAAATGTCAGCGCTTATAAATGTGAGCTAATTTCAAACTAACTATATTAGGATTTACTAGTTAAGAAAGCTGACATCATTAGTGTTATGTTATATTCTGTTTCACTTTGCTATGCATTTTTTTTTCCTTTTTCCTCCCAACCTCTTTTATAAGGTTTATTTTCAGTAAGTTCCCACTGGAAAAAAAGTGAGCAAAACTGACCTAAAGGAAAATGGATAAGGACAAAAAGGGACTGCTATCATTGTTTGCAGTTACAAAGTTTTCCATAAAATTGACTTCCTACACCTAGATTAAAAGGTTTGGTTTGAGTGATGAATATAGTGCATGTTTTAAGTGACAGAAATGGTTCATTTCAACCAAAATGAATTTATGGAAGACTCACTCTGTGACAAGTACTGGGATAAACTCTGGAAAGAAAAATTAACACTGCTGATCACTAGGAACTTATATTCTGTCTGGAAACAGACTTGGAAAAAATAAGTGCAACCCAAAATGTCAGACAGTGATAGTTCTTTAGAAAAAATAAAGCATCGTAAAATGGCTCAGTTATGCCAGACATAATTGATTGTTACTTTATAGGGGCTGTTGGTGTGGGGAAAGTCCCTTGGAGAGATTGAAATATGACTTCCATGGTTCATTCTGCATGAAGAAAGAAATGAGGCCAACACACATCAGCGAGAAACTGGGGACCACTTTATCTCAGTTTTAAACATTTTAACTTCACAGTTCTTTTGTTTATAAATTGATACAATGTCCTCTCCATCTCTAACTTTTTTTAGTGGTGGTTTTGTGATTCATAAGAGAGGGAGGGCCTTGGGCCGCATAAGTACACACCTACTCTATTTAATTAACTAATTTTTGGTTGCATTGGGTCTTTGTTGCTCTGTGTGGGCTTTCTCTTGTTGCAGCAAGCAAGGAGTCGGGGGGCTACTCTCTAGTTGTGGTGTGAGGGCTTCTCCTTGTGGTGGCTTCTCTTGCTGTGGAGCACAGGCTCTAGGTAAACAGGCTTTAGCAGGTGTGGAGCACAGGTTTATGTGCTTCGTGGCATATGGAGTCTTCCCAGACCAGGAGTTGAACCGTGTCTTCTGCATTGGCAGGTGGACTCTTAACCACTGGACCACCAGGGAAGTCCACACTTACTGTAAAAGACTACTTCTTATTATGTGAAAAAGTGCTGGGGCTTTAGAGCAGTAGAGACTAAGGTTGGAATCTCAGCTTGCCCACTCCACTGGACAACTCTGAGAAATCACTTACCCTCTCTAAACCTCGATTTCCCATTTATAACTTGGAAGTGGTCATTTCCCATTCCCAGTTATAGCAAACTGGAGTGAATAGCTCAGTTTCAAGCACTGAGTCTTCTCTGGGAAAAAAAAGTGTTACAAGATGAAAATATTTATATACATTTCAGAAGAAGTTAAATATCCTTTTGAAA